CTAACAAACAGTAGCTATAACACGAATTCGCCCAAATTGGACGGCTGTCAGTGATCTAAAACCACTCGAAAAGCCATCGACGGGGTCTCAAACAACGGACGCGTCTAGAGTTCCGCGACGGTCTCCGCAACCCCGCACGGCTGGAATTGAGCTTCGCTTCGGAGATGCTCCGATCAACGTCGGACGGGACGATGGTCAGTGAATTTTCAAGGACGGGAAGCTGAACTGACCGTTAGGGCCTCCTTCATGGTGATCGGAGCGTTCGCAGCCGCCATGGTTGATCGGATCGGCGGCCGGCCGAGTCGGACGGATCAGATCCCGCGGCCGGAAAATGAATCGCTGCGAGATCTTGCGGCAACGGAGCTCGCCAGAACCCTCAGCGAGGAGAGAGAGAGAGAGAGAGGAGAGAGAGAAGCGAAAGAGAGAGAGGAGAGACCAATATATCGCGGATTTTTTTATTTTATAAAAGGACGAAAATGAAATGATGGAATTCCGGAGGAGTGGAGACTTTGGACCGAAGCAGAGGTCTGGTCTGACGTGGATGTGGAAAAGTAGGACGATTCATTAATGCCCTAAACTTCTTTAGTGCTCTTTATTTCTTGGGCCAACATCACCGGAAAATCTCGAACCAATACACCCAAGGTGAGTGGTTTTCGGTCCGGTCCGATCCAACTCAAGAATTGAAAATCGAATCGAGAGGACCGATTCCCAGTTTCTAGGATCGGGGACCGGACCGGCTAATCTTGAGACCGTGGATCGGACCGAACCGTCGATGCTATCTGGTCCGGTCCGGTTCTAATGGGACCAATTGGTAAAGGCAACAGGGAACCGGGAAGCATTTTTGGGACCAATATATGAAAGCATTTTTGGGTTGGTCCCATTGGAACCGAATAAAAATGAACTATCAAATGCTTCTTTTGTTATTTAAATATATATATTTAAAAAGTAAATAAATATATATATGAAAAAATTAAATATATATATATATATTTATTGGTCCATTCCGGTCGGGTTTTCACTCTAGAACCGGGAACCGGACCGCCCGGAAACCGGTTCCACTTTTAGGAATCGGGAACCGGATTGATATTCCCTAGAACCAGACCAAACCGGTCAGTTCGGTCCAGTTCGGTCCGGTCCCGGTTTGGGCGGTCCATCTTGCTCACCCCTAAATACACCCGTAACAAAAAACTAATTTTTTTTATCATAAAAGAGTTTTTTCGTTATTTATCATAAGTATACTAGAATTGATTTTTTCGTGGTATTAATCAAATTTAACGGAAATTAACAAAGGCTAAATTTATCGCGGGTGTATCGATTTGGAATTTTTCGTTGTATTAATCTAATTTAACGGAAATTAACGAAGATTAAATTTGTCAGGGGTGTACCGATTTGGGGTTTCTGGTGATCGAAAAATTAGTATTGAGTAAATTTATCAAAAGTGTACCAGTTTGGGATTTTTTGTGATCAAAAAATTAGTTTTGAATAAATTTTTCACAAATGTACCAATTTAAAGTTTTTGGTGGTCAAAAAATTAGTTTTGGCTAAATTTATCATAATCATACGAATTTGGAGTTTTTCGTGGTATTAACAATCTTTTGACTGGGAATTTTTTTCTATATTTTATTTAATTTTCACAATTTTTTATTAAACATTATTTGAGTACCGAATATCAATTTAACCATCTCACTGTGATGTATACATTATTCTGCTGATGTTGCATGTAAACAAGATAAATTAATCATGTTTCGATTTGGCTAAATCGTAATCACTAAAATGAGGTGAACTAGTAATAATGATGTAATGGTGTGATCATAAATGGTTATTAGATTGTTCTACAAGCAGATTTTGAATCGTACGTAATTCGAATGCAGAGAAGGAAAAGGCATGCAAAAGAGAAAGAAAATGAAAATAAGTATGCTAATGCAAAGGAAAATAGAGATAAGTGCACTCGTAAGCCTAAAATTTATCACGAAAGTGCAATTAAGCTCTAAAACTTTCAAAATGCTCAATTAAATCCTAAAACTTGTCAAATTGGGACAATCAAGTTTTTTCGTTAACTTCATCGAACTTGGCTAATGAAAAATATTTACACGACCTTTGTTATTATTTTGCTCTTCTATATGGCGATGATATAGGTAAAACGACGTCGTTTTGGTCTAAATATGATTTTTTTATATAAATTTTTATTTAAGTTATAAAAAAAAGAAAACTTATATATATAAAAACAAAAAAGACAGGAAGAAAAATGCAAGCGAGGGCTGCCCTCACCATTGCCACCCCCCATCTTTGGGAAAGGCCCGCAATAGTGGGGGATGGCTGGTGATAATGGCGGCCCTCGACCAGATTTGGCAGGGTTGCCGGCTATCCCCCACCTCGCTGGTCCTTCCCGGCAATGGTGGGGGGGCGGCAGTAGCAAGGATCGAGAGCTCGAGTTTCCCTTTTTTTTCTTTTCTGTGTTGTGTGCTTTTTTTTTTTTAAGTTTGCTTATTTTTTAATACAAGTTAAATAATTTTTGTATTAAAAAATTATATTTGAACCAAAATGACATGGTTTAAACTTTATGTTTCATGTTTTAGCCGCGTCATCGCCACACAACTACATTAGCGCTTTCCGTTAAACTAGGTTATTATCCGAGCAGTAGTCGATCTAGTCGATTAAGACACATAATGAGGATTCATTGCCAAATTACAAGGCGTCCAAATTCAATTTCCCGATGAAGAGATCTTGTTTGCCAAGACTAACTCGTACCAACTACTCTACTTCCCCATAATTTCTTTCTAATTCAAGAAAAGAGTGAATACCCATAATTTTATTTCAAAATTCAAATCAAAATCGATACGATCTAGTCGATTAAGATGCATAATGAGGATCATAGCTAAATGATTATGCACTTATCGACAAATACAAACTCTTTCACCCTTCGCGCTTTGGGAGCCCACATCAATATTTGTTGACTAAAGCATATACTTCTCATTTAGTCATCTAATCTGAGCAATTGTTACAATTGGGTCCCCCATTTTTTCGGTGCAAATGAGGTCTTCGAACTTTTTTTTTTTAATCTAAGTCCTTTTTTCTGATTAACACACTTAATTATTTTGATGTGATTGTTTGATGTGCCTACTTTATTCTTCGTTCCACTGAATTTTAGAATTTTGAAGGTTCTTTCCACCCTTTTGTTTTTATAATATTAAAAAAAGGTACATCAAACAACTTGTTAACATAATTGAATTTCATAATTGTAAAAATAAATTGATTGGAAAAAAATCAAGCAACTTAGAAGATTAATTCGCACCAAAAGAAGTTGAGGACTCAATTGAAAAATTGCACAAGTTAGAGGGTAAATTTGGACTTATCCCGGAACGATATGCACAATTATATAAATTTTTTAAATTTGGGTGGCATCATTTATACCCTTAAATGACTAAATCCACCCCATTTATACTAGAAACTAAATTGCCCTCAATTATTTAATTGCAATTTAGAGTGATCGCTCAATTCCTTCTTTTTCCTATTTTTTTATTTTAATTAAGGATTTAGTTGCCATAATTATGCATTTTATATGTTTTTTTTTGCGTATTAAAGAATTGTTTTAGTGTATTCTTAGATACTACATGCTCTATGTAAAAGCCACCAGTAAGAAAAAAAGTGAAAAGTACATTTAAAGTTCTAAAACTTGTCGTGAAAGTGCAATTGAATCATAAAACTTTCAAAAAGTGCAATCAAGTCCTAAAAGTTATCAAATTGATTCAATCAAGTCATTTCGTTAATTACACCTTTTGAAAATATTTTGATTCGATTGCATTTTCATGACAAGTTTTAGGAATTGATTATACTCATTAAAAGTTTTAAGACTTGATTGCACTTTCATAATAAGCTTTAGGACTTGATTTTGTTTTTTGGTTGAACGACTTAATTGCGCTTTTTGAAACTTTAAAAACTCAATTATACTTTCATAACAAATTTCAGGACTTTTGGTGCATTTATGATATCGTAAAAAACTTGAAAGTCTCTTCTTCATTGCTCTTGTGAAAACTTATTTATTCTTTTTCCCACTTATCTTTTGTTTTTGGCCAAACCCTATTATCTCAAAACTCACTTTTTTGGCGAATTTTTTTATTTTTTAATTTCATTAATTTGAAATATATATCAAGTCTTTTTACTTACTATATTAAAGAACTTATCTTTTTCCCTACTACTGCCGAGATGCTCCTATATAAATGTAAGGTGTTATGAAATATCCAGGAATATCCTAAAAATATTTGCACAACGAGGCATCTTGATATTTTTTGGTACATACTTCGTGGATGATAGTAATTTTGTCAATTCAATAACGAGATTTCGCAGGCATTTTTAAAATAAGTTTCCTATTTTTCGATGGAGAATGGTGATATGCACAACAAAAGTGAAAATTTGTAAATAAGTAATCATGTAAAAAAATGTCTATATAATTTTTTTCTAGATTATACTTGACAATTTATCCTTAAATTTGCTCGACAACGTAGAAAAGAACTAGGTTTCTTGGTAATTTTTTTTTTGACAAAACTAATTTCCATGGAAGCAAAATCTAACAATGAAAAAAAAACATAGTGCCTTTACTATATTCGGAATCGGGATACCTGCAATAAAGAAAAACTAAATATGTAAAATTCTTTATTATGATAACTAAATCCTAGAAATAGAAAAACTAGAAAAAGGAAAGTTTATAAATTCGAGACCACCACTTAAATTACAATTGAATGATTGGGGGCAATTATATATTTTTTTGATGGAAATTGGGTGGATTTCTTTTTTGGATGATAATGGGGGTAGGAACCCAAAATTACATCGCCACTGTCCTAATAAAGCATGATCAAATCTGATAAAAGAAGTATCTTATTTAATACATAATTATCTGAGTGGATTTAATTATATAGGGGTGGATATAGCCTCGTCAGGTCAGAAACTCAGCTCCAAATCGAAATACGTACCATTTGAAAAACAAGGACATTCAGGGAAGAGGAATGAAGTTTTCGTCAATAGCTACTGCTCTCTCTCTCTGGGCTTATCGTCTCGCAACGTGCACTCCTTCCCGTCTCAGAACGAGCAGCAAACCACCCGCCCTGGTTGACGGAGTCGGCGCCCCGAAGATGGCGGTCCAGTACGAACTGAGGCCCGGGCAGTATCGTCTCCTCCACGAGCTCCCCTCTGGTCTGTCCATGGAGGTCATCGTGCAAGAAAGCGCAAAAAAGAGCGACGGAGACCTCAACCCACCGCTGGTGTTCGTGCACGGAAGCTACCACGCCGCTTGGTGCTGGGCCGAGCACTGGTTGCCTTTCTTCTCCAGCCACGGGTTCGACTGCTACGCCGTCAGTTTGCTAGGTCAGGTAACAAAGACGCGTGGGAGTTTGTTCTGTCATGTCTAGTTTGACTCCAGCTTACTTCTCCAAAAACAAAGGCCTCCTCCAAGTTCTAAACATAAAGTAGCATTCGTTTCTAATCTCTGTTCTTGGTTTGGGCATATGATGTGAACCGCACCTTCCCTTTTCTTGTCAGGGTGAAAGAGATGAACCCTCCGCTCCTGTTGCTGGTTCCCTCCAGGTATTTTTTTCTCCTTTTTTCCTCTTAACTCTTTAGACTTATAGAGCGAGTGGCAGTGTCCTTATTTATGCTCATCACATATTATGCAACAATAGACGCATGCAGCTGATGTTGCCGACTTCATTGACATAAAACTTAGCTTGCCTCCAGTTCTGATTGGACATTCATTCGGAGGGCTTGTTGTCCAGCACTACATCGCAAACATGAGAAATCAGCAATGTACAGGTTAGCTTCTAGCCGGTTTAGCTTCTAGCCGGTTTAAGCCTGCATTCTGAGATACCTGCATCGATGTGGTGGCAGCTTTGAGGTTCTTGTCAAACTCTTGCTTCCTAGCAGCAAAGGATTTGAAAGCGGACATACATATGTTGAGTGGAAAAATGCTTCCACGATCTTGCTTCCCTATAACATGTAATTCAAATGCATCAAGCTAGTCTTTGTACGATATGGATCTGGACATCTCTTTCAGCATATTTGAATGGGACAATAAAATTCTGTGGTCCGTATTGAGTGAGATATATCTCAAATTTTTATTTGAGCCCCGAGGCAGAAATCCCAATGCATGCATCCTCATAAGGCTTGAATCTTTTGAGCTTTCTACTGGTGTTAATGTGTACTTAATGCTTGGATCTATTCCTGATTGCTACTTGGATGTGCTGATTCTTTCGTGGGAGTCTCTTGGGTTGATCTGTATTCGACCTTTTACTCATATAATTATTCGGCGTTCATCCTGTTATGTGTTTTTTCTTTTTATTTAGAGAGGGATGGTTTGTTCCCAGACCTCGAGGGAGCTGTGCTTGTTTGCTCCGTACCTCCTTCTGGCAATAGGTGATTTCAGATCCCATAAGAAATATATGCCCTTTACTTACTTTGCTGATTAGTAAGATGGCTCTACTAATACTTTCTTCTTTTCGTTCAGTCGCATGGCGTGGCGGTATCTCTTTACCAAACCTATAGCAGCTTTTAAGGTAGTTTCTTATCATCGAGAGAAACTATTCTCCTCTTCTCAAATCCAGTGTGACGTAATTTGATACTAAAGCGCCTTTGAATTTAACAGGCCACCCGCAGTTTGGCTGCTAAAGGTTTTCAAACTTCTCTTCCACTTTGCAAGGAAACGTTCTTTTCTGCTGCAATGGATGATCATCTGGTGCAACGGTAGGTTCCTATGCTTATACTTATGTAGGAGAATCTTCTTTGATATTCATTCTGTCGAATGTCAAGTTAGACATCTGTTCAAAAAATTACGTCTGCATAACGGAAATTTTTAATAACCTTGATGCATTCCGAGACAAGAAAGTAGATGGAAATTGACCCGGATGGCTGCTGAATGCTTATTCAAGAAAGCATGCCGGGTTGCACCAACCTATATTACAACCATGAATGTCAACTTTCTTGCTCGTTCTTGCTTATTAACTAGTTGCTCTTGCCATAGTGGTAATAAAGACGTTGACATCTTGAAATTGCTTCCACCCGAATTTTTTAAATGCAAGTGTTCAATCTCCACTTTCTTCAGAATACTTTTTATATTCGAAGACAATTATATTGTCGGGTGACTAACTATCTACTTCATCAAATCATGTGTTGTCATCCTCAAAGGTATCTGACAATCTCGGGGGCCTAAAACTTTCCCTTTCCTTCAGTTACCAGAAACTGTTGAAGTGCAGCTCAAGGATGCCGGTAATCGATGTATGGCGGATGAATGCTTCTCTTCCACCTCCCTCTGCACCAAAACCATCCATTCAATTTCTCGTGGTGGGCGCGAACGATGATTTCTTAGTGGTAAGTTACTTAATTCCGGAGGAGCTTTTGCTGCTTTCATCATCTGTGCCGGCAATTCTATTTAACGGATGCCGTCGCAACGTGACCCTAGGGTAGCCTCGAAATGAGCATGTGTCCCTAAATCCTTCTCGAGGATAAGTATGTGGAATGGCGCACTCTTGCTCGTAGCCATTGAAGGCTTATGTCTGCATAGACCATATGTTTGCATTAGCTGTTACTATGGTCTGGACTCCCGCTCACATATCCTCTGTTTTTATACGTAGGATGCGCAAGGGATACGCGAAACCGGCAAATACTATGGTGTGACACCAGTTTGTGTCGAAGGGGTGGCTCATGACATGATGCTAGATTGCTCCTGGGAGAAAGGCGCGGGCGTTATCTTGTCGTGGCTGAAGGGTCTAGGGAAGGACCAGAGATGAATTGTGTTTCTCTTCGGTTTGGTCTGGTCTAGTCTCCGTTGGGTCTAGAGTGCAAACTGTGTTTGAGCTCGCTTCCTCAAACAGATGATCCGGCTCTGTTGTAATTTCAAGAACAGCGCCAAGCAACATGTTTGCTTAGCAAACTTTGATGTGTATCGAATATGAAGAGATTTTATGATCGCATTTGTAAAAGAAAGTACATCTAACGTCTTATCAATATAATTAAATTTGATAATTGAAAAAAGAATGTTTAATACCACAATAGACTCTAAATTATGTCCACTATGACACAAATACTCCGAAAAAATTTTATGTCATAATAAACCCCAAACTAATATCAGTGTAACAAATATACCCTGGATTGAATTGTAAGTTTTTTGTGGCACAAAAAAAAAATGGGAGTATTTGTATCATAGTGGGTATAGTTTGGATATTTTAGTGGCATTTGCTCAAAAAAGAAATTGATTGGAAAAAATTATGCCTATTACGACACATATTCCCCAAACTTTTTCATGTCACTAAAAACTCTAAGCTTGCTCATTGTAATATAAATACCCCAAAATTTTATTTTATGTCATAAAAAACTCTGAACTTATATCAATGTGACAATATACCCTAGACGGAATTGAAACTTTTTCATGGCACAAAAAAAGTTGGGAGTATTTCTGTCATAATGGGTATGGTTTGGATTTTTTGGTGGTATTCGCCCAAAAAAGAAATTGATTGGAAAAAATCAAGCAAGTTAGAGGATTTAATTTGCACCAAAAGAAGTTGAGGACTCCATTGAAAAATTTCGCAGGTTGGAGGGTAAACTTGGACTTATCCCCAAAACGACATGCACAATTATATAATTTTTTTAAAAACTTTAATATCATTTTTCATTGAAGGCGAGAGAAACTCGCTCCCCATCGAAATCCGTACAAATTGAAAAAGCAAGATTTTCCGGGAAGAGCAATGAAGCTTTCGTCAATGGCTACTCCTCTCTCTCTCTGGGCTCATCCTCTCTCGACGCGCGCTCCTTCCCGCCTCAGAACGGGCAGCAAACCACGCGCCGTAGCCGCCGGAGCCGGAGCGCCGAAGATGGCGGTCCGGTACGAGCTGAGGCCGGGGCAGAACCGCCTCCTCCACGAGCTCTCCTCCGGCCTGTCCATGGAGGTCATCGCGCAGGAAGGCGCCGACGAGAGCCGTGGAGACCTCAATCCGCCGCTGGTGTTCGTGCACGGGAGCTACCACGCCGCTTGGTGCTGGGCCGAGCACTGGTTGCCTTTCTTCTCCGGCCGCGGGTTCGATTGCTTCGCCGTCAGCTTGCTCGGTCAGGTAAACAAAAGCAAGAACTGTACTATGTATCTCTCGCTGACGGTTAGTCTCGGTCGATCCTTGTATCTGTAGCTCGAATTCAAGAAAGATCTGCATTTGGAAGGCATAGTTGCTGGTTTTTCAATTCTTTTTTTTACATTTACTGAGCGAGAGACGTCTTGGAGGTGGAGGCAGGGCAATGCACATCTATTTCACGCAATTGGAATGATCATCTGCGTGGAATTCGGAATTACGAAGTTCATGATGGCTCATTCGCTGGCGATGAACTTGGTCCTCACAAGCACAGCTTTTTTTATCCTGATACGAAATGCTTCGAAGCGAAAAAATATGTCCTCGAAATGATCTAAAATGAAATGAGAGGGTTGGATTGAAAGATATGGTAATTATGACTGCGGATGTTTGGTATTAAAAAGTTAATGCCTCTGTCAAATTAGAGAAACCTGGAGAAGTTTTTCGAGGTTGCAATGGAAAAGGGCGTCTGCCTTCCCGCGAAAGCTTTTAACACGACCGGTAGTAATTTATTACAAGCTGCTTTCAGGGTTACAGGAGGCATTAACATTTTCCTGACAATGTAACGCGTTAATAATGCTTGGCCTAGCGATTTCTTGACAAGTGATTTCTCCATGCAGTTTGAAACTTTTGGATTTAAATTGATCAGCATAGATTTTGTTCTCTCCTGTCTACTCTGGCTCTGGCTTACTTCTCCGAAAAAAAAAACGGCCTCCATATTCTAAACATAAAGTAGTATTTGTTTCTAGTCTCTTTTCTTGGTTTGGAATAATGATGCTGAACCACACTTTCCCTTTTCTTGTCAGGGTGAAAGTGATGCACCCTCCGCTCCTGTTGCTGGTTCACTCCAGGTATCTTGGCTCTTTGACCTGAGATTCTCTTCAAGGGGCTAATGCATTTTTTTTTTACTTTTTTCTGTTGATCTAGGCAGATATATAGAGTGAGTGGCACTTTCGTTATTTATGCTTATCTGATACCATGCAGTACACACATGCAGCTGATGTTGCCGACTTCATTGACAAAAAACTTAGCTCGCCTCCAGTTCTGCTCGGACATTCATTCGGAGGGCTTATTGTCCAGTACTACATTGCAAACATAAGAGACGAGCAATATGCAGGTTAGCTTCTAGCTGGTTTTTAGTCTGCATTCTGGGATACCTGCATTGATGTGGTAGTAGCTATGAGGCTCTTGTCAAAATCTTTCTTCCTAGTGGCAAGGGATTTAAAATGCAGACATTTATATGATGAGTGGGAAAATGCTCCCATGATCTTAGTTCTCAATAACACGTTACTCATATGCATTAAGCTAGTCTTTGTACGTTGTGGATCTGGACATCTCTTTTAGCATATTTGAACACAATAATTAAATTCATGTGATCCGTATTCAGTGAGATGTATATCTCAATTTTTAATCTGAGCCACAAGCATAAATCACAATGCACACACCTCATGAGGCTTCAATCTTTTGAGCTTTCTACTTGTGCCAATGTTCTACTTAATGCTAGGATCTCTTCCTGATTGCTACTTGGATGTGCTTATTCTTTCATTGGAATCTCTTGGGTTGACCTGTATTCGACCTTTTACTCATATAATCTTTGCACACTTAATTGGCGTTCATCCTGTTATGTGTTTTCTCTTTTTTTAGAGGGGGATGGTTTGTTCCCGGAGTTGGCAGGAGCTGTGCTTGTTTGCTCTGTACCTCCTTCTGGTAATAGGTGACTTCAGATCCCATAAGAAATACATGCCCTTCATCTACTTTACTGATTAGTACAATGGCTTTACTCATATTTTCTTCTTTTTGTTCAGTGGCATAGTGTGGCGATATCTCTTTACCAAACCTATAGCAGCTTTTAAGGTAGTTTCTTATCATTAAGAGAAACTATCCTCCTTGTTTCTATTCCAGTGTGATGTAATTTGATAATATAATGCCTTCGAATGTAACAGGTCACTCGCAGTTTAGCTGCTAAAGGCTTTCAAACTTCTCTTCCTCTCTGTAAGGAAACATTTTTTTCTGCTGCAATGGAGGATCATCTGGTGCAACGGTAGGTTCCTCTGGTTATACGTTTGGATGAGGATCTTCTTCAATATTCATTTTGTCATATGTTAAACATCTGTTGACAATTATGTCTGCATAAGAAAATCTTTAATAACCTTGATGCATTTCGAGACAAGAAAGGAAATGGAAATTAATTTGGATGGCTGCTGAATGCTTATTCAGGAAAGCAATCCGGATCACACTGAGCAATATAATCATTAATGTAACGTTCTTCATTGTTCTTGCCTATTAATTTGTTGCTCTTACAATATTTCTTACCTAGCCAGAGTGACAATAAGGACATTGACATCTTGAAATTGCTTACACCCAAATGCTTCAAATGCAATTCAATTTCCACTTTCTTCAGAATACTTTTTATATTTGAAGACAATTATTAATGTATTGTAATCCTCGAAGGTATCTGACAATCTGGGGGCCTAAACTTTTTCCTTTCCTTTAGTTATCAGGAACTAATGAAGGAGAGTTCGCAGATGCCGTTGTTTGATCTAAGGCAGCTGAATGCTTCTCTTCCAGTTCCCTCTGTGCCAAAATCTTCCGTTGAACTTCTCATAGTGGGTGCGACTGATGATTTCATAGTGGTAAATTACTAACTTCTGGAGTTTTTGCCAATTACATCATCTGTGCTTGGTCATTCTATTCCATGGATGCTGTTGCAACGTAACCCAAGGGTAGCCTAGAAATGAGCATGTATCTCTAAATCCTTCTCAAGGATAAGTATGTGGAATGGTACGCTCTGCTCGGAGCTATTGCAGGCCAATGTCTGCATAGACCATATCCTTCTACTATAAACCATCAATGACATTGCACTAGCTGTTTCTATGGTCTGAACTCCCACTTACATTTCTTCTCTGTTTTATATTTAGGATGCTCAAGGGATACGAGAAACGGGCGAATACTATGATGTACCACCGATTTGTGTTGAAGGGGTGGCTCATGACATGATGCTAGATTGCTCGTGGGAGAAAGGTGCAGACGTTTTGTTGTCATGGCTGAAGGGTTTAAGAAAGGACCAGAGATGAATGTGTTTCATTTCAGTTTGGGCTAGAGTGCAGACTGCGTCCGAGCTCACTTCCTCAAACAGATGATCCAACTCGAATGTAATTTCTAGAAAAGCGCCATGCAACATGTTTGCTGGTCCATTTTTTCGTTGGGCTTCTGCTATACACTGCAGGAGCGATTTGTAATTTCGCAACCTCGGCTGGGTATCGAATTTGGAGAGATTTTATGTGTGCATTATTCATTCGTGAGTTTAGCTTTCCAGGACGCGTCGCAAGAATTTTCTCCATCCACTTAATGGGTATTATCATGCAAGAACACTATTGGCAATCCGGCAACTGACGCCACAACCATCCAAAGAGGATTTTGGTTCCTTGTATGGTTACCACGAGTACACCGGCGTTTACTTGAAAGCTGGCCGAACGCTTGCAACCGTTTCAAGTTGAGTGAATTCGTACTCTTGCGCTTGATGCTTACCGTTGTCTCTTTAATTGGCGAATTATTCCATTGTTGCGAATCTAGAAGCATATCAACAAAGTCTGACTCGGCCTTGTTCTTGTGAAAATTATGTAAACCCTAGCTGCCAAAGAAGACCAACTAGGACCTGGTAAAAGGCACGTGAATTTTTATATTGGGTGGACTTGATGATTTGTTTGATTGGGGTCAACGGAGAGCAAGACAACAAACAAGGGCCACCAATCCTACTTGAATCATTCTTCCCTAGTGCAATCATCGCTCATGGAGAGACGTGGTCAAACTTATGCAAAGCACCAAGCAATTCACAAGCTCAGTGCTCTTGTTTTTCTTCCTTGGTTCGAAGCAAATGGACATTCCACAAGTCCGGATGTTGAAAAGATTCTCACGTTTCGATATAAAACGATCGAGAGGCAAAAAGTTTTTTTAAATAAGAAAGATAGGACGCGAATTCGCAAATTAATATATAGTCGATTCAATGACTATATAAAATCCTACAGGAAAAAGACAACGCTAGGAGCCACTTTAGATAAACAAAATTCTTTATTTTCTTCCCCACCCTTGAGCGGTGTTTCTAGAATGAGTCGCGTCGCAACATTGCTTACTGTACAAGCAACATGCGACGTGCTCGATGAATTACTTCAGGTTCATTATCAACATTCAATATCTCTGTCTTAGTCAATAACTTCTCTCGATTCCTATCAGAATTACAAACCAGGAGAAGTAGCTTCCATGGTTTTAATTGACTAGTGACTCGCGAGCACTTCTCATCAGTCATCATCATCACCGCATGCCACAGAATTTCTTAACCTTAGCAGATCTTACTTTCCTGTGTGATTCCATCACTTTTGTTTAGAATAAAAAGAACGCTGTAGCTTTGAAGCCTTTCCATGTGCACACCAGGCAGATCAGCGGCAAGTCCAACCAAATACAAAGTATGCGAATTCTTAGCAGGGGGAAGGTCACAATTTACAAGTACATTCAACTTGAGTGATTCAAGAGATCCACAACTTCTGATGGATAGGATCAACTATCGGTAACACTTATATAGCAGTTAAACAGAGTCCAAACTATTCTATTTCTATAGTTCTATCTAATTGTCAGATCCATTTACATAATCAGGGATGGCTAGAATGAGTAAGTAGCCGATGGCTCGGTCTGAAAGATAAAGAACTTGTCCCCAGATGAATGACAGTCTAACTTTGCGCGGGAGGGTCTTCCCTTTCTCCAGGTGCATTCTCCACGGGCTACTGCTCATGAGATAAAACGACGCAGATCAATTACTAGCACAGTTATGTCATCAGTCGAGCCTCTCCTCATCGACAACTCGGCAAGCTTTTTACAGGCCGAGAGGGGATCGCGTAAATTGATATCGACATTCATAGCGCGAACTAAATCAACAGCCTCCTGATTTGTGACCTGGTCAAGAAAAAAGGAGGAACCAATGTCGGTATCAGAATACACAAAACTGCATAAATGATGTTATATCCTCGTTTAGAACGACATTTACCTTGTCCCAAAGGCCATCAGAAGCTAGGACTATGAATTCACAATCTGGCGTTATTTGTAGAGTTTTCGTTTCTGGGTCTGCTATTACCCAACGTTTAAGTTGCTGATCTCCAATGCTTCTGGATACGGCAAGCGAACCTTGTATTCTCCAAACTCCGCGACAGCAATCTACATAGGCACCCTGCAAGAAATTTTCATCGCCATAAGCTTACTAAAAAATTTCTAGGAATACAAATTAGTGCTCGTTCTTTGCTTTAACTTAAACTTCTCCCCTTACTTACCAGGGCTTCAATTCTCTCTCTTTCGCTTTCCAGCGAAGGACGGTGATCGGTAGTAAGGGCCTCTGCAGTTCCTCCTCTGCTCATAACAGCACGACAGTCGCCAGCATTCGATACAACGAGTTCACCTTTCCGGATCCATGCAGAGATACAGCAGGTACCACCGTCAGCATTTTCAAGCATGAAATCTGCATCTGTTTTGAGGTAAGCATCTCTCACGGCCTCCTCGATACTCGAATCGCTTTTTCCCGCCATGTGTTGCAGAATGTTCTTGTCCATGTTTTTTGCTGCAAATTCAGCGGCTTTTGCTCCTCCATGACCATCAAATACCCCAAAGAAGGCCTGCAACAGCATCGATCCAATCAACCCAGGAAGAAGGAGCAGTGATACTAACAAGTAACAACCAATAAAAGCACAATCGAAGAAAGAAGTGCGGTGTTATTGGAATGACGAAAATTCGTGGGTTTCCGTCCAAATTCCAAAAGCTTCAAACTTTTAGAAGCAGAGCATCTTTAATGGGATATATAGCTAACAATTACGCAACTTTCTTCATAATTCCCATAATGAAACACTACCTGCTTAGAATCGCCTTGAATTCCAACAACAGCGGAGAAGCGATCCTGCAGGCGACCTCTCCTCCCTCTCTTGGAATACACTCCATACGTATTTTCTCGCACCTCCACCTCCTCCGCCCCGACCTCGCGCGCCCCGGCCTCTCCGAATCCCGCCAATCCCATCATCGGGATCGAGAGCCTCGCGGGCCTCTTCCTGCTCAGCCCCGAGCTCTCCTTCTCCTCGGCCGTCGACTCTACACCCGGAGATGGCACCGGCAGCGACGGCGACTGGGGAGGGAAGGGCGACGGAGGCGGCGCGATGCTCAGAGGAGAGCAGAAGGAGGGCGCCTTGGAGAACGTCGACGGCGAGAATGCCGGAGAGCTGACCCCGATCGCCACGACAGCCATTTCAAGATCCTCTAAGCGAGGGAGAGAGAGAGATAGGAGATGATGATGGTGATGATGATGTGATTCTATGTCTATTTAGGAACGACTGGATGGAGACATCGGTTGGTATATAAAGGACGCTTTCAGCGCCCGAGGGAAACGGCAGTTGGACGACCACTTCCAACGACGCCTGCCGCCTCGGGTTTGACTCGGGAGAGTTGACCCGCACCCTGTGGTTTTGCATTGCATGCATGCCATGGATGGTCGGTTTTTCGTGGGTTACGACGAATGAAAAATCTTTGCATGCACGCATGCATGCACTGAAATATAAGAGAGAGGAGAAAAAAGAGAAAGAAATTATTTGGCTCGTACACGAGTAGCCGACTATCATGAAATTTTATTAAAAAAAAAGTCATATGCAGAAAAATTATGAATTAAAACTGCATAAAAACGACTAAAATAGTCGCTCGTACATAAGACGCTCGTTGGTCTTATTCAAAATTTAACTCCGTCCGATTAGAGTCGAATATTATCTATTAGAATAATTAAATATTAAATATGTATTCATCTAAAAATTTAAACTTTTACGACAGTTAACAGTGGTCCCAGGTGGGATGCTGCGCTAGCCCCCTCGAGGACTAGTCGGGCATCACCGCTGGTTTGAGCCCTAGCTCGCCGGCCGCGCGAACACCTCGATTATCAAAAAAAAAAAAAAATAGTGATCCCACCAAAACCTCACATTATCTATACCCATTGTAAAATCCCGAAACAACCATGCACGCCCACAAATCACATTATCATGACATCCGTAACAATCCTGTTATCTCCATAATTACGTCCTCGCGTAATTTCAGCTTCGACCCGTACAACGGCGGGTAGATGAACGGATAAATTACAAGCAAGTAAAGATGTCATTTTTAATGGCGCAGGACTTGCTTATCTCGAGTGATGGATAAACCATGGATCGGAGATAATGGAGAGATAATAATGAGGCACGAGAAGTTGTGGAGAGATGATGACTATAATTGAGAAAACGTGGTGATTGAGAGAGGGATTGTGGAAGTTTCTGCAACTGAGTCAAAAAGCGGACGGTCGACGGTCAAGCGGGTGGATTAAGGTGAGACTCATTCTTTGCCCTAATCTCTTCCGGTTGTTTTCTGGTTGTCGCGATCCTCACGTTCCACCGCTGATTTTCGTTTTCTTGCTATGCCCGCACGACACGTGTCGTGCGGGCGTTGCGGGTGCTGGCCTTCTGGTGGCCTTCCCCCACAAACAGAAAATACGACGCGATCAATTATTACATGTTCTGTGAAGCACGGAGAGAGACATCGTGATTACTAGTCACTAGTCCATATTAGACCTGATCATATTAGACCTGATCATGGCCGACCAAGGACCTGTCCAGGCTTGCTCGAGCCCTTAGGCCGAGTCTTGTCGTTCGGATATTTTTGCTGAATAAAATAATGACGAAATTAGATTTTAAATATTTCATCTAATATTTATAGGCATCTATCAAATATTCATTTAGATAATATTTATTTGAATCCATCCCCTTCGACGAGCACGAGAACAGTGTTGATTCCTTGCTTCTGCGCTCCGACTCGTTTAGCTACCTCAACAGCTTCCGTTGAGACGACGTGCAGATTCGGTTCGCGAGCGGGTAGCTCTTCTGATCCTACTCGCTTCGAGTGACGCGATCGAGGAGCTCTGTTGCCTCGGTTGCCGCCTTCATCGGATCATCTTCTTTGTGAAGGAGGTGTCGGGCTCTGATTGGGATCACGAAGTTCCCTGCCAGGATGGAGTTGAGTGACATAAGGAAGAGGCAAGGCCAGCGAGCTCCGACGCATCTTTTCCCGACGACCAAAGGCAAGAAGCAGGTCGTTGCTGGTGGGAGGAGCGGTGGCCAATGGAGTCTACTTAGGCTATCGCAGTGTAGGTCTTACCTCGTGAACGCATTGGCAAAGGCTTCTCTGGATTGCATTCCGCACGCATGCCCTCTTATTTTTTAGTTTTCTAAATTTCACATATCCTGTATGGGTCATCATACCTCTTAAGCGAGATTTTTTTAACTGGGCTATATCGGTCATATTCGGATTTCGCGTCAATCCAAACGGTGGATTGAATAAAAATTATCATATCCGGAGTTTTATCTGGCTCACCAAACGCAGTCTGAGAGTATAAAGATTTTTGGACAAGCATGGACAATGACATTTAGCAAGAAAGCCAGGCCAGCCAGTGGGGTTCGAGTCGAGTCGAGCCGAGCTTGGCCAACCAAGAGCCTATCCGGGCTCACTCAAGCCCTAACAACATAAAGGTTTTTGGGCGGGTGTGGACAATGACATTCAATAAGAAAGCCTAGCCAGCCAGAGGGGTTCGAACCAAGCCAAGCTAGGCCAGACCTCATGATTTATGTAGACAAATTTCATGAAAGACGGGCTAGGATAAATATTTAAGCCGGACCAAAAGACCCCAACGCTACTACTTATCACCTCTAATCCAAATGGATTTGATCTACAAATCATACAATATTTTTTTCAATGTAGAGTTAATGTGCAAAGTGGCGAATAGAATGAATCATTGTGAAGAAACTGCACGAAAGCATGTGTTTTTTTTAGTGAGATACAGTACTGGGTCCTGTGTTTTTCATTGACTTTCATTACATTCTTGTTGATTCCAATACGACTTTCCGTGACTCAAATACGTTCATGTAAAGTATGATATTATTCGTAACTCGATTTTATGCAACAGTTTTAGTATCCTAAGTAACAGGAAAAACTCTACCTGCACCAAGCTAGTGGAGCCTGAATTTCAAGATCCTTAAGTTATTGAGACTACTAGATAATGCAAGCCATATAGATATTTATTCAGATGATGAATAAAATTTTGACCGCGTTATTTAATATTTAGCTATCTCTAACACCGCTCAATAAAATGACTTAAAAAGAACAAGAAATTAGAGGATGTTGGTACATATTAATCGTGACCATATCACAATTGTGGTAACCTAATCGACACGATTAACGAAGTACTAATCCTATTTGGGTATATCTTTGGAAAAGGGAATTAACCCATCTCTTTCATTTAACTAGCTTGATTAATTAGCCGACCTCTATTCACCTATTTAATATAGAATAACTTGTCTACTTCTATTACTAATCAATTTTTATATCTTCAGAAGGTACTAAAAAAGTTAAAGATTTTCTCGATTAAGTAGAATCGATATGGAACTTTTCCATAAATTTAAAAAAACTATTTTTTTCTAGAATAAATAGACAGCATTTAAATAATTTCTTTGGCATCAATTTTGTTGAAAAAAAGTACGTAAAAAGTCAAATTATCTCTCAAAAACATTTAAATAATTACTTTGGTATCTATTTTAAGAAAGTCTTTAAAATTGCTCCACCGGCTGAAGAAGTAGAACGTGTCGGACAACCAGCGACGTCCTCGCCTTCCCGGCGGCGAAACCATGCGACTCGTGTCAATCTCCTTGCACACGACATTCCCTGCGAAACGAACTTGTCACTCCTCCCCTGACCCATGCCCGCCGCGTCACCCTCCACGCGTCGGCGCCGCTCCGAGGCGGCAGCGGCAGTTCGGTGGCCTTCGGTTGGCTCGCCGCTTCGGCCTCCGTATAAATCCACACCTCGCCGAGCTGAATGACCATCGTCGACCGTTGCGATCCGACGTTGCATGTATCGAAGATACGTAACGCGAACAGCGAGAGCTTGCAGAGAGTTCAACAAGAGAGGGATCAGGAAGATGTCGTCCCAGCAGCAGAGGGAGGAGCTCGACCGCCGCGCGCGGCAGGGCGAGACGGTGGTCCCCGGCGGCACCGGGGGCAAGAGCCTCGAGGCCCAGGAGCACCTCGCCGAGGGTAAATGCGTTTGACCCGTTGACCAGAATAGTTTCTGTGACCCCCGTTGGACTTCTTTCAAACGGAAGATATTTGATTTTCCTTTTTCCAAAACATAGGTCAAACACGCCCCAAAAGAATAACTATTGCGATTTCTTTGCCGTTTCAATCACTCGGACGTAGCCCGTGAGTTATTAAGTTCTTTTGAAATTGGAATCACACACCTTTTAACGGATTTATTTAGTTTTTTCTCCTCAGTTTTCTTTTGTTGGCTGGAATATATTTGTAGGGAGACACAAAGGAGGGGAAACGAGGAAGCAGCGGATAGGGCAAGGAAGGGTACCAAGAGATGGGCCGGAAGGGCGGGCTGAGCACCACCGACAAGTCTGGCGGAGAGAGGGCGAGCCGCGAGGGCATCCCGATCGACGAGTCCAAGTTCAGAACCAGGAGCTGAGTTAAAAGTTTAGCAAAGAGATAGGGAGATGTTTAGGGTTTTGCTACTGTCGAGATATGTCCGTAAGACAGCCGTGCCTGGGATTTGTTTGTGCGTTGTTCAAGGAGCGCAGCGTTTTTGGGTTTTATATATTTGTGCTTCTTGATCGCGTGGGGCAATCAGCGTCGGTACTCTTTGTGTACTTCCTTTTCATCTTGTGTTGTTGCAGTGATATGATATGAAGGTTGTTCTTGCTTCGGAACTTTGTCGGAGTTGTCTCGTTCCCTGCTCACCTGCTTGCATGCCTTATACGTGTATGCCGGAGTTGAAATGAAAAGGAACTAGGCCTAAGCCAGCGGTACACAAGAAGGTCCCTAAGGTCCTTAAATACCGGAGAAAAAAAGTCGTACGCTTTACGAAGCTCGGTTTAGAACATTAAAGATCGAAATATCAAAGAGATGGTCACATCAATTTCAAGAGTACAAGTTTCGTGTGGCAAAATTAAAGAATTGGATGGTGTCGTCGCTGATGTGTGCTTGTTCTTTTTTGTCCGCCATTGGATGGTGTCGTCGCTGATGTGTGCTTGTTCTTTTTAGTCCGCCATGGGTTGCGTTGGATATTTCAACAGTATAATGATTTTGTAACGATTTGGAACGTTTGATTAATTTTTTCTTAAACCTTCTTTTATTCTTTTATAACAACTCTAGAACGGTTATCGTTTTAGCAATTTATAATTATTTTATAATATTTTCTGAACGGTTCTTTCTTTTCATTAAATTTCAAATCACAATGAAGTT